AAAGAATCACTGCCATCTGCACTGATTCATTTTGGTCTCCGTGGATCGGAGACTTCTTCTTTGATCCACTTGGTCCGCAATAGTACTTGACATATGCGAACGTGCGAGTGAGTGTGGGCGTGTGCTAGCTAGCAGGCGAGCGTGTGTGTTAGTTTATAAGTCGTCGTTGTAAGAAAGGGAGCCATAGCGAATTCCGACTTCGCTCTGACTCCCTTTCGGGTCTCTAAAGCAGCAACCTCCTCGCGGTGAGATCCGGGCAATCGGTATCATTATCGACCTAGAAAATGTTGCCAATGGCAATGATTTTTCAATCGGGGATTATACCGAGCAAATAGCTGCAAACTTTATACTGTAAAATGGTGTGTATTGTAAAAGTGTGGTCCCTCAGGGGCTCGCTTGCAGGAGGGGTCTGCAAGCGAGTACGGGGGGTAGCGTCCCCGAGGTACCCGAGTCGCTGATTTCGCATATGTCCAGTAGTATTGCCTTAGCTTTACTTTTTCGCATCTCGTTTTTGATTCCGCCACTGCAGATAGCTGTGGTGGCCTTGCTTGCGCATACTCTTGGGTAAGTCCGGACACATCTCGATGTTCGACGAGTGACCATGCGGCGTGGTGATTCGAACGCGGACCCTCCTTCTGGGGAGGCTCTCGCTTGGCACATTCGCTATATAAGCCGTCCTTAGCTCTCTCTTGGGGGCGGGGCGCAGGGCGAGAAATCCGACCCATTGTGGGATGATCCAACTTTGGATCATCATTCCTCATGTGATCGCGCCGGTCATCGTGATGTGCGAGGCTCCAGACTTGTGCGAGCATTGTACGCGTCGCGTCACCCTCGAGTCAGTGCCTTCTGCCCTGACTCGCACTTGTTTCTCACTTTGAAAGAATCACTGCCATCTGCACTGATTCATTTTGGTCCCCGTGGATCGGAGACTTCTTCTTTGATCCACTTGGTCCGCAATAGTACTTGACATATGCGAACGTGTGAGCGAGTGTGGGCGTGTGCTAGCTAGCAGGCGAGCGTGTGTGTTAGTTTATAAGTCGTCGTTGTAAGAAAGGGAGCCATAGCGAATTCCGACTTCGCTCTGACTCCCTTTCGGGTCTCTAAAGCAGCAACCTCCTCGCGGTGAGATCCGGGCAATCGGTATCATTATCGACCTAGAAAATGTTGCCAATGGCAATGATTTTTCAATCGGGGATTATACCGAGCAAATAGCTGCAAACTTTATACTGTAAAATGGTGTGTATTGTAAAAGTGTGGTCCCTCAGGGGCTCGCTTGCAGGAGGGGTCTGCAAGCGAGTACGGGGGGTAGCGTCCCCGAGTACCCGAGTCGCTAATTTCGCATATGTCCAGTAGTATTGCCTTAGCTTTACATTTTCGCATCTCGTTTTTGACTCCGCCACTGCAGATAGCTGTGGTGGCCTTGCTTGCGCATACTCTTGGGTAAGTCCGGACACATCTCGATGTTCGACGAGTGACCATGCGGCGTGGTGATTCGAACGCGGACCCTCCTTCTGGGGAGGCTCTCGCTTGGCACATTCGCTATATAAGCCGTCCTTAGCTCTCTCTTGGGGGCGGGGCGCAGGGCGAGAAATCCGACCCATTGTGGGATGATCCAACTTTGGATCATCATTCCTCATGTGATCGCGCCGGTCATCGTGATGTGCGAGGCTCCAGACTTGTGCGAGCATTGTACGCGTCGCGTCACCCTCGAGTCAGTGCCTTCTGCCCTGACTCGCACTTGTTTCTCACTTTGAAAGAATCACTGCCATCTGCACTGATTCATTTTGGTCTCCGTGGATCGGAGACTTCTTCTTTGATCCACTTGGTCCGCAATAGTACTTGACATATGCGAACGTGTGAGTGAGTGTGGGCGTGTGCTAGCTAGCAGGCGAGCGTGTGTGTTAGTTTATAAGTCGTCGTTGTAAGAAAGGGAGCCATAGCGAATTCCGACTTCGCTCTGACTCCCTTTCGGGTCTCTAAAGCAGCAACCTCCTCGCGGTGAGATCCGGGCAATCGGTATCATTATCGACCTAGAAAATGTTGCCAATGGCAATGATTTTTCAATCGGGGATTATACCGAGCAAATAGCTGCAAACTTTATACTGTAAAATGGTGTGTATTGTAAAAGTGTGGTCCCTCAGGGGCTCGCTTGCAGGAGGGGTCTGCAAGCGAGTACGGGGGGTAGCGTCCCCGAGGTACCCGAGTCGCTGATTTCGCATATGTCCAGTAGTATTGCCTTAGCTTTACTTTTTCGCATCTCGTTATTGATTCCGCCACTGCAGATAGCTGTGGTGGCCTTGCTTGCGCATACTCTTGGGTAAGTCCGGACACATCTCGATGTTCGACGAGTGACCATGCGGCGTGGTGATTCGAACGCGGACCCTCCTTCTGGGGAGGCTCTCGCTTGGCACATTCGCTATATAAGCCGTCCTTAGCTCTCTCTTGGGGGCGGGGCGCAGGGCGAGAAATCCGACCCATTGTGGGATGATCCAACTTTGGATCATCATTCCTCATGTGATCGCGCCGGTCATCGTGATGTGCGAGGCTCCAGACTTGTGCGAGCATTGTACGCGTCGCGTCACCCTCGAGTCAGTGCCTTCTGCCCTGACTCGCACTTGTTTCTCACTTTGAAAGAATCACTGCCATCTGCACTGATTCATTTTGGTCTCCGTGGATCGGAGACTTCTTCTTTGATCCACTTGGTCCGCAATAGTACTTGACATATGCGAACGTGCGAGTGAGTGTGGGCGTGTGCTAGCTAGCAGGCGAGCGTGTGTGTTAGTTTATAAGTCGTCGTTGTAAGAAAGGGAGCCATAGCGAATTCCGACTTCGCTCTGACTCCCTTTCGGGTCTCTAAAGCAGCAACCTCCTCGCGGTGAGATCCGGGCAATCGGTATCATTATCGACCTAGAAAATGTTGCCAATGGCAATGATTTTTCAATCGGGGATTATACCGAGCAAATAGCTGCAAACTTTATACTGTAAAATGGTGTGTATTGTAAAAGTGTGGTCCCTCAGGGGCTCGCTTGCAGGAGGGGTCTGCAAGCGAGTACGGGGGGTAGCGTCCCCGAGGTACCCGAGTCGCTGATTTCGCATATGTCCAGTAGTATTGCCTTAGCTTTACTTTTTCGCATCTCGTTTTTGATTCCGCCACTGCAGATAGCTGTGGTGGCCTTGCTTGCGTATACTCTTGGGTAAGTCCGGACACATCTCGATGTTCGACGAGTGACCATGCGGCGTGGTGATTCGAACGCGGACCCTCCTTCTGGGGAGGCTCTCGCTTGGCACATTCGCTATATAAGCCGTCCTTAGCTCTCTCTTGGGGGCGGGGCGCAGGGCGAGAAATCCGACCCATTGTGGGATGATCCAACTTTGGATCATCATTCCTCATGTGATCGCGCCGGTCATCGTGATGCGCGAGGCTCCAGACTTGTGCGAGCATTGTACGCGTCGCGTCACCCTCGAGTCAGTGCCTTCTGCCCTGACTCGCACTTGTTTCTCATTTTGAAAGAATCACTGCCATCTGCACTGATTCATTTTGGTCTCCGTGGATCGGAGACTTCTTCTTTGATCCACTTGGTCCGCAATAGTACTTGACATATGCGAACGTGTGAGTGAGTGTGGGCGTGTGCTAGCTAGCAGGCGAGCGTGTGTGTTAGTTTATATGTCGTCGTTGTAAGAAAGGGAGCCATAGCGAATTCCGACTTCGCTCTGACTCCCTTTCGGGTCTCTAAAGCAGCAACCTCCTCGCGGTGAGATCCGGGCAATCGGTATCATTCTCGGTTCAGAAAATGTTGCGAGTTACAATGAGTTTTGAATCGAAAATGATACCGAGCTAATAGCTGCAATTTTTTAACTCTTTTTGACATTGATATTTTCTAATCATAGATGATGTTATTATGCTACACATTCATTGATAATTTATTTATAGAAATTTAATTGTGTTCCTTATACTTCTTCTACGTTAGTTCACAACATCGTTGGTTCATCGTTGCAAAAGTGAAGCAATGATGGATGATGTCGATAAGAATCGGGCTGAATTGAGCGAAATCCCGATATATTTCACTGTTTGAGACCATGCAAGAATCGTATCCTGTTCGATTCCGCTCAAATTTCTTAATTCCACCCCGATCGGGTTTCTGTTCACGCCTGCCGTTTCATTTTTGGTAATTCATGAAATTTTAATTCTATACTGTACGAAAGAATTATATAAATTCTTTCGACTTCTTTGTGTTATATAAATATTCCTCTTCATTTTAGTGACAATTAAATTGTAATGCAGATACATTGCTTGATATTAATTAACTTCAAGGGAACGAAATTTATTTAATCTGCTTGGCTTCGTTCACCACGAACGTTCTGTAATATACAGATTAATATTTAATGTGTATAAACATAATTTGGGAAATGCTTTACGCACATCTCGGGATAGTGTGGGATTCCATATATGTTTTCCCGCTGAAACCCTATCTCTGCGCTGACCCTGGCGGCAGTCCCTAGGAGCTCATTTTACTAACATTCCGACTGAGCTATCAATTGAAAAATACGAAAGAAAAGAAGTAAAATGCTGGAATTTATTACCTGTAATAACCTTGTTTAATCAAATTAAGAATGATAAAGCCCGGGTTAAAGATTTCAACATTTTAATAACGTTTGAATAGTTACAATTTCTCAACGACTGAAGTTTCTTATTTGAATTTGAATCTTTTCCCGCATTTGAATAGATGGCACTAACTGGAATTTCTGTTCCAAATCTTCTTTATCTACAGATAGTAAGCGCGTTCGTTTGAAATTACAGATTTATTAATACTCATTTATTTTTTAATCGATATAGTTTCAATCATATTCGTCCTTTATAAAAAGCGTTAATTTATTCGATTAACAGCTGGCAGCTACATCTATCGAGCGAATGGCGTAGCATGTCACGATGGGCATCCGCAAGAGGGCGCGCGAGACATTTGGTTTCGCGACATTTCGGCGTGGGGGTCCATCGCTTGTGGCCCTCTGATGGCGGATCGTCGAGGCACCGTCATATAGTAATTGGTCTTTGAGGTATCATATAAACAGTATATACTATGGGCATCGGAGTATTCGAGGCAGTTCAATGCTCGAGTGCGCGCAAGTACGGGAGTCGTCGAGACGCGATGCTGAATTAAATCTTCCAACCGCGATTCCGAATCCTAACGTTACATTCGATCACGAGTTAAAGAACCAGTGTTGATCATTGTGATAGAGAAACCGTCCACCGATACACCGTTCCAGTAAGATCCAAGGTGTATCCGGAATTGGCACGTGTTCCCATAAATTCGCAATGGAACGAACCGGATCGGCGGAATAGAGACCAATGAAAAAGAGATGTAGCAAAGTGCGAGCTAAAATTCAAATAATCGTGTGATCGGCTTCGATATTGTCCGTTAAATGGTAGCTAGGCGTAGCTGCGCCTTCGTGTAGAAGGTTTGCCGAATTAGTGAGATGTTAACCACTCGTGTGCCATGATAATGGTTCACCTATGGCGCGAACATCGGTCTAATTCAAGTTTCTTATCGGAGCAGAGACAGTCGTCGGCGTGTCATGGAGGACGGTGGTGGTCAAGTGCATTCTAGCACGCTCCTGGAAGAGACCTTCTATGTCACCTCGAAAAAGAACACCTACTACAAGGTGAGGCTGACCGAGAAAGGTCTCAGCCTCGAGAAGGACAACAATGGTGCGACGAAGGTTGAGACGATCGCGTTGGGCGACATAATCGGCTGCAGATGTATGCGCTCGAAGCGCAAAAGCGCGGGAAGCTGCGTCTGCGGCCCGGGCACCTCGAGATCGCAATTGAAGCTGGTCGAATCCGCCGAAGCATTCCAGTGCTACGACGAGTTCGACACCTCGGCCTATCTTTACATTTACGCTTACACGCTGAAGAAGGCCCGCATGAAGGATGCGAAGCGACGCGAGAGGACCACCATCACTCTGCGGTTCCGTAGCTTCGACAAGTACGAGGACAATCTGCGGGAGGCGAGCAGGTGGCGGCTGGCCATCAAATGCTTGATCGCCAGCGTGCCCGTGCCAAAGAGCTTTATGAGCCCCAGTCACGGGAACCTTGAGTCGCTGATCAACGGTGAGTACTGAATGGAGACGCGATAACGGGCCGCTCGATTAATTACAGCCACCCTACCGGAGAGCCTTCTTTTCTTTAAGCAAATCGACGCGACCGCTGATTAGGCGGACGATAACGTTAGGTAACCGACTGTTCCTAACGCCATTGCAATATCTGTGGCGGTCGCGCAAAACAAGCGTACATCAGAGGTTGAACAGTAATATTATGTAATGATTTTCAAGGGTCTGTACTCTGCTGTCAGGACACCGATGCCTGTCCTCTCGACATTTTTTTAATGAGATAAACAATGTTACGTCTGCGAAGCTCGGGGATAATCGAATATACAGGGTGTCCCACCTAACTTGAACATCTCGATTAACGCGGTTATTATCGAGGCAACGTGATCGAAAATTGAAAGAATCACTCGTTCAAGAAATCAGGACGTTTTTGTTGTGATGTCATAACGACACGATCAAGTTCAAGACTTCGGTCTGGCAAGATGATCGTGCGACCTTGGAATTATCAACGACCTATGATCTCGAAAGACTTTGAGTAAAACTTTCTGTTCACACAATGTTTGCCCATTTAAATCTAATCATATTTTTCTCGGGCATTTCTATTGTCAATGAGAAGAGAGAGAGAGAGTTGTTCGAGTTTTGTAAATGAAAGTAGAGTTGCGTTATTCCGTTCGTATAGGATACATTTCATACTTTTAGTTGTTTGATGGAGGTTCAAAGATATTCAATATTTTTTCATTTAAATTTTAATGGCCTGTTACGTTTCCTGGCATTGTAAACGCTGAGTGATACATGTACATTATAATGTGAAATACTTTCTATTACATAGCCTGCATATGCAGGCTGGTTGCCAACATGCCTGCCTGAGTAGGTCCAACTGAATGCATGTAATATCTTGGTATCTAATACAACAAGTGTTTCCTGAGTTCACCTCTGGCTGAGGTAAACAATTAATTCTGTGATGCTGAATTAATTCGGGGATGCATGCTTGGTCCTCTATCTTTCTCTAGTTTATACTTGGCAAGTATGTATACCTTTGAGAATTCCATTAGGTTTTCGGTTGATCAATGTTGAACGGGTAATTAATTATCTTACGATAACATTCGCTATAACAGTTATGCAACGCGTTGCGTCATTCGTCTAATTTTAGGAAATATTTATAACCCTTATGAACACTTTTTTTTAAAATTCAATTAACTTTACAGATCTTGTGGTATTTTATGGTTCTCGTGTTCGCATGTTTTATTGTTTTTTTTACTACTGCTTCTAGTTAATCTTGCACTATGCTTCAGTGAACGTGTATATACTTGCGTAGTCACTTTTATCTTAGTCATGAATTTTAATGGATAGGTCATACGCGCATTCATTTTCAGTATCATGCTTAAATGATATTATTCATTGTCTAAAAAAACACGAGAAAGATTAATGAAAAAAGGATACTTAAAATTTAATGTTGCAACCTGTTTGAATTTCACAGAAGAGGTCTTGACTCGTGGTTTCTAAAGTCCACGATTCTCCGAGGTTTTAAAATGAAAAAGAAACAATTAGAACATTACTTTACGCTTTACAAAATTAATCTTTGCTTACGTTATCCCCGGCTATTTTTATTTAGAGATCTTATAAATCGTCTGAAAATCAGCCGATCAAATGAGATGTTCTCCCAATTAAAAACGAGGCGGTCCAACTGTGAAAAACTCGTTGAAATTAGGCCAATTTCCGTCAGAACAGTGCGTCTGGAACCTTCCGTTCGGGTTCCTTTTCATTAGCGCGTTTTCTGCAGCGTAATATCCGCAATTTCGAGGAGCAGAAAAATCATTATTCCACCGGTGGCAGGACTCGTGTGAAATTTATGCGCGTTCGCTTCCTGTTTCAGAGGATTCGAAATTATTCTGCTCCCAGTATATTCTTCAAGCTTGCACAGGGAGATCATTATACTCCACGCCATCCAAATCAACTAATTTTTCCCATCCCTGAACATCCTTGAATAAAAAAAAAACATATTAACCATTTACCTTATGTTTTACATAAAAGAAAATTTATTCTGTTGCAAACAACAGAATTTCGTTATTGGTTAAAAGAAATTATTATTTATTCTATATAAATTGACGATTGACGACTGACTCGATATTACAAAGTTGTTTCAATTGAATTTAATCATTTTGAATTCTACGTTAACTAAAATAATCTATCTCTCTTTGTTTCTATACATCGCTGTTAATGTTCTGCGAATTTTAATGGTTCTTCAAAAGAGATTATTGTACAATACTTTTGTTATACAATATTTCGAAATCTCCTAATCCTGACATTTCTTCACGCTTTTTGACGCAATCGAATTATATTAATGCTACCAATTTCCTGTTTGGTAAGTCAGAAATGAAGGAAAAAATATTTGAACACCTTTCCATTCTTTATTCGCAACGATTCACACTGTTCTAAGAATCGCACGGTGCAGCAACAATGACGTAAATTTATTTGAAAAAACCCAGCAAAATATTTACGAAACATTTGCATCGAGTGTATTTGGATAGTGTCCATGCCGATAGGTGAAATGCTGACGTTTGTTTTCTCGCCGGAAAGAAGGGAGATATAAGTATTTGCAATTGTTCAAGGCGAAAAGATTGATTGAACAGTGTGCGAAAAATTTTCATAGAATTATTTTTATCCATTATCCACTTTTCATAGAATTATTATATCCACCGATCCAAGTGAGCGGCTAATAATACAAAACATTCGCGCGTTCTTGAATTGAACACATACACAACACACACACAATACATACACAACACAGTAAAGTAAGTTCTTGCTTCACTGTCGCGTTAATTGCTTTGTTTCTTTGTCTACACGCTGCATTTATCCACAATTACACAACGCCGCCGCCAGCGATTTGTGTGGTCGTGTCTACTTTTATACACGGAAGAGTCACGATGCTAAATGTTTATTGCAATTTTTACTCAATACAAAAGTTAATTTCTTCTTCGAAAATTTCTCAATACAAGAATTTGTTCCTCCACGATTTCTAAATATAAAAGTTTATTCTGTTGAAATTTATCGATGCAGAAATTTATTCTTCCACGATTTCTAATTATAAAAACTTATCTTAGTATAGAGAGATTTATTCTTCTACAATTTTCCAATATAAAAATGTATTCTTTCAAAATTTTACAATATAAAAATAGATATATTTTTCCAGCTATTCTCAATGCGAAGATTTGTTTATTCATCAAAAACCTCTAAATACAAGAATATGAATTTATTCTTCGAAAATTCCTTAATACAAAAATTTGTATTTGTGCTCGTTAAAAGCCAGCAGAGATATCCGCTTAAATATTTCCAAGCTTTAGAAATATATCACACGATTTATTAAAATTTTATCCTGGTTTTCAGTTTCGGCTTTGTGCCGTTATTTTCCAATCTCAATTTATCTCGTTCATTTCATATTTTATTTTTGCAACGTTTTCAAGCGTTGCAAATGCAGAATTCATTTTACTAAATATTTACCAATGTTTTCTTCGCATCGAATTTTATCGTTTCCCAATTTTCATGCTAGTCTCCTATTGTTTCATATATTGTCCGTAACGATATCTTCCGATATTATCTAAAATGAGAAGGATTTGCATTGTTAAAACGTTGATTTCTTTTATCAATCATCATAACAATTTAACAAAGGAATATTCAAGACATGCTACGATTTTAAGTAGTATAAAATTATATAGTGTATAACATTAATTTGGCTATCTACATGCATGCATAATGTGCATAAACTACAAGATGGCTGCGAATGTGTTAATGCACGAAGATCCAAAGTCTTGTCGTAATAGTAAAATAAGTGACAATAAAATATGTGACAGACTTAACAAAATTTTTATCAATATTTGTCACTGCATTTTCCTCAATTAGTACTCGCATTTTTAAATTTACATTTTATTTGCAATGATATACGTTCAAACGTTGCAGCTAACATTTTCAATCGTCAAAAGTACGTAATGTATTTCATTTCATCCACGTTTTCATCGGGTTTTATCCTCCTCCTGCTGGTCCGCTGCGTTTTATATCCGATTGACATTTTCATATTATATATATGTACATCTAAAATGAAAAGATACTGTCTTCCATATACCAACAGATTATTTGAAAACTGAAGTAACCACATTGCTAATTTTCATCAGTATAATACACTTCCTTGTATGTCAAAAACGTGAATGCATAAAAGTCCACAGTCTTCTAGTCGTGATAGTACGGAAATTGTATTGCGCATTGTGCAATACATTCGCCACAGGCATTATCTTCTGTTATCTCTCAATTTGTACCAGCTTCCTAAAATTCACGTTTCGTTCGCAAGAACATTTCCAAACGTTGCAGTAACATTCTCCCTCGTCAAAAGTATGTCACGCACGTCATTGCATCCATGTTTCCATCGTGTTTTATTGTATTCCAACTGGCCCGCTGTGTTTTATATCCGAGTTACATCTTCGTATTATATCCAAAATATGAACAAATTGTCTGCCGTCGACAAAAATATGTCTCGCGGGATAATTGAAACGTGCATCGTTTAGTAATATTCATCGGTACAATACACTTCCGCATACGTTAACAATTTACAATGTACACATCTTGAACGCATAGAAGTCGACGGTCTAGTTGTAACAGAATTTCGAAACTGTATCGCACGTCGTAATACAATTTACATTAATGTTCCTGGCTGTATTATGTTTCATCGCTTCCTAAAATTCACGCGTTCCAAAATTCATCACCAAACTATACCTATCACTAAACTATCACTAAACCATAGTAGTACTTGCAATCATCAGAAATATGCTACATATTTTATATGATTCCATTGTTTTCGCGATGGTCTGCTCTGCGTCTCGTGCCTCGCGCAACAACAATTCCGATCTTTCCGCGAGAAACGTAGGACGCGCATAAACGTCTCCGGCCCCTTAAACGGAATACATAATTCGTGGTTTCCAGAGCGGCGCGACACGGGTCCAACAAATCACGCGACAT